CAATTTCAATTAAGGAGAATTTCTGGCGAAAAATATCACCATGCGGAGGAAACTCACACAAATATTGCGCACACAGGCACGCACGTATGTGTAGAAGCAAGGAAAGGAGCCAAAAATCTGTGGTGCTCTCCGCTACCCACCATAAATGGTTCGGCTGGCTGATAAGGACAATGTTGCAGACAAGCGGCATGGAAGACCACCTAGTAAATGTCTACGGTTACATTATTAGGAATTTTGTGACCTAATCTTAGGTCTTCGTTCTCTCTCTCCCCAGCACCCTCAAAAATAGAGAGAGATTATCGTCTTGTTTTAAACGACTTATAAGAGTATAAGTTCCTTTCAGTCCTTGCCTAAATATGGACTAATGAATGCCAGGGGATTTATTCCCATAACGGTCGTTGTCCTCGTTTTTGGGCATTGGTATTTTGCGTAATATGATGCTAAGGATCTTCGTATTCTATGGAACAAAAGAATATGAATTCCTCATGTGTTTTGCAAATATCTCTCACATACACACACTTCAAGGACTCATCAAACAATAACCCAATAATAGCAACAATTTTGGTTCATTGTAGGATAATCACACACACACACCGAACAAGGACCTGTTTACGTTTACGGCCCATTCATAAATTGTTTCGCCGACCAGTTTCACCAGAACAGGGGGCTCCACAAATGAAAAAGAATGAATCAATGAGAGTCCTTTACGTCCTTTTGTTTGGTGTGTTATAAAATTGTTAAACAACAAAAGGTAGATTTTGTTTTATTACAACTTAAGATCTGCTTTTTTTGTTTTCTTTTTTTTTTCGCCAAAACAAACCCAAGAAAAAGAAAACCTCAAGTGTTTACTTCCACAGGCTCAAATGCAGGATATTATTTGGCGGTCTTCGTTGGATAGTAGTTCCGAAATTTATTTCTTCACACGTTTTTTTGTCGACAAATTCGTTGAATTCGTTGATCGGCAATCTTTAAAGGCTTCATCACTGGCACGGAGGTTTTGGCGCCCCCATGACAATGCTTTCAATTTGCCCTGTAATTCCAGCGAAATTTGCCATAGAATTTTGAGGAATTTTTCCGTTGTCGACAATGAAATCACTGGGGAGAAATAAATAAAAAAAAACGTGAGAAAAATTATGAAATTTTTAGCAACGGGAAAATAAAGCCGGATAAATGAAATTTTCTCGGAAAATTGCTCGAAAAATTTATTTTTTTAAATTGATTTGAGGTTTTCCTTGGTAATACCGGGCAGGGGAGACTGAACAGCATTACATGCAATTGAAATAATTTGCAATCTGATCTGAACTTTAAAGTTTCTATTAGCTACATAAATTCAGAAGATTTTATACGACTACTGTTGGTGCGAAACTTATCAGACACTATTTTAATCTTTAAAACTACGTGTCTAGAGCTTAGTTACAGTGTTGAACCTTTGTGGGGGAGGTCCCAGAAGGAGTTAACGGACATATCGCATATTTACATTGAATCTGTGGTTTGAGGCACAATGCTCTCTTTGTGGGAGAAGAAAGGAGGAAGTGGTCTGATCCATCCCATCTTCACACCAGATCTTGTGTTGATAAAAGTATTGGAATGTACCCTGGAAAAAATGGGATACTGATTTTACTTTTTAATAGATCTAGAAGAATTATAATTATTCAAAATTTAGACCTTTTGTGGGAGAGGTACTTGGACCCATAATGTCCATTTTCGAACCTGACCTGACACGGACAAAAATGTTAGGTTTTACAAAATTTGCACAAAATCGAAAGATTCTTTCAATCTTTATGAGGTAAAAATAGTCTTTGAACATTTTGATATTCTGTTTGGGAGGTATAAGAAGGACCGATATTACCCATCTCTGAACTCGATCTAAGTTTGACAATAATTTTATGATGAACCAAGTAGGGATCATATCGGATATCGGATCATATCATATTCTCGTGCGCACCAGCCTGCCAGACAGATGGACGGACAAACAAACCTAGATCGAAACCCAAATGTCCTGAAACGGATTTGGTCTAAAGATAGCTAGGCTCTAAAACCAAAGGGAAGGAAGGGACGAAGGGGCACGTTTTGGTCGTATCAAATGATATATGCCTCTGTAGCCATATGCCTGTTATAGTTGGACCCTCCAAAATGGTTAAGGAATGTATTTACAACGTATGTCGCATGGATTGGAATTTTAGAAGGCCACTTGAAGAAGAGCGGACCTCAAGCTATTTGAAGACCATTTGGTGGTAATTTTGGCTGAGAATTCAGTCCATAGACTATATAATGGCAAAGAGAGTATGCTACAATGTGATGTAATACCTTTTACGGTTCCAGATATATTCTCTTCTGGGTATATTCCATCGGCTACGCGAATTAATTTTTTTTAAATTTTAACAGTTGTTGTAAGTTGCCGGTCTTCGGTCGGGGCTTAGCACTTTCTGTAAACCGGCTAACGCGAATCAAAGTTTTCTAAATTTGACACTTTTTGAAAGTAACCGGTCATATCTCTGGCCCCAGAAAAGTTTTTAGCAGAAATTGTAGCATTTTGGAAAGGTAAGAGTGCCAGCTACAATTTTGCTGAGCCAAATAATAGGCCCTTTTTCGACTGGGGATTTTATAAAAAATCCTTGTCTTTTATAAAAAATCGATAATTTTAATATAACTTCCGATTCGCTTTTAATAACCCCATCATGTGACCACTTGTTGGATAGGTATTTTCATAAATATGTAGATACAGGTCTAGCCCGAATCTTGAACTCGGACATTCGGTTAAAAAATATGGGGTCCTGGGTCCGCCCTCCCCCCCAAAAAAAAAAAAATTTCCGGAATCAGGTTAAAAATACTTACCACTGGAAAAAATTAAAAAAAATGAAGAGTCGGACTCGGACTTTCGCGTCAAAAAATTGGGGTCCTGGGTCAGTCCCAAAAAAAAAAAAAAACATTTTTCCGGAATCAGGGTAAAAATACTTACCACTGGAAAAAAAATTTAAGAGTTTTTACTAAACTAGAGTTAAGCCAAACTTTTTTACGTTTTGAGGAGACAGCAGTTGTAGGATTGGAGAGAAGGCTAAAGTTCTGGCCCCCTCCAATTTGGAAAATTTTGTTTTTTTGCCTGTTTGGGCCTGATATTACGTCCGTTGGGCCACTGGGCCCCTAACCGATTTGCTACACTCTCGCAATGAGGGTGTAGCCACATATGCTGCAGCAGTATTATTCCGTATGAGCGAAGATAAACCACAAGATTACAAGAAACGTCTATCCATAGAGCTAACCGATTCACTATTGCGTGAGGACAACAATATATGGGGCAATGCAGACTTGGGCTTGGGTCCAGATTTACAGGTAGTAGTATTTCGACGCAAAATGAAAAATATCAAGACATTTACTTGGAGCTGGTGTATTTAGTAACAGCCTTGGTACCTTCACTGACGGCGTGCTTAGCCAATTCACCGGGCAACAATAGACGGACGGCGGTCTGGATTTCCCGACTGGTGATGGTCGAGCGCTTGTTTTAGTGGGCCAAACGAGAGGCTTCGGCGGCAATACGTTCGAAGATATCGTTGACGAAACTGTTCATGATGCTCATGGCCTTGGAGGAGATACCGGTGTCGGGATGGACTTGCTTCAACACTTTGTAAATGTAGGTAGCGTAACTCTCCTTACGCTTGGTACGTCTCTTCGACTTATCGCCCTAGGTAATGTTCTTTTGGGCTTTGCCGGCCTTCTTTGCTGCTTTACCACTGGTTTTAGGAGGCATTTTCACTCATTATTTTTTTTGAATCACACGTAATATTACGTCCGTTGCAGGAAGACAATCTAGGTGTAGAATAAAAATAAATAGTATTCCGCAAAAAAGTATTCCATAAGAATGAGAACAGCTAGAGATATTCTTTATGATGAAAGGTCTTACATATGCTCTCTACAGACAATCCTACTTCTGGCGATTTTTCTTGGAAAGAAGACCTTTTACTGGTCGTCTGTAAAAAATAAGCTATTCAATAGGTCATCAATATAAGTATGATTTTCCTTTAAAGATTTAGTTAATTTCCAAGATCTCTTAGAAGTTTTCTAGTAATTGGAGACCTTCTGATACTTTGTTTTACAAATATATGTTAATGAAATAAAAACATTTTTCTAAGTGAAGCTATTTCATATGTACTCCCTAAGATGAATACTTCTATGGAGGTCGAAGGATGTTTTTAGATGTGTTCAATGGCTAAAATTTCTGCTAAAGGATTTCTAAAGACCGAAGATCTTCTAAGTTTATTTCATAGGTAACCTATCGAAAGACTTCACAAGATACTTTTATTGGAAGATTACCTTCAAGAAGTCTCCTACAGAAAATTACCTTTTAGAGGGTTTCTGCAGAAACGTGACATTCAGGAAGGGTTCTTCAGAAAAAAAATACTTTTTAGAAGTCATGTCTAAAAATTATTTTTAGAGCTCTTCTTTAACAAAAAACCTTTAAGACGTTCTCTATGGAGTAAACACAAATTATAGATATAAAAACTGTCAAAACAGCCTATATAGGTAGAACAAACCATAAATGCAGATGACTTACTGTCGATCTTCCATTGGGTGAGGACTAGCAATAGGTTTAGTGCAGTTAGACCTAAGAACAGACTGTTTTCTTTGATTGGAAGCCCCTTATTTGAGTTATGAGCATAGAGGGCCGCATATACGTTTTCTTCAAATAGGAAACTATTGTTACGACTTTTATCGATAGAGGCTCGTTAGAGAGTGTTTCAATTTTTATTTTTAATATACATATAAATTGTTTAATAATCGCAAAATTCTTCATGACGGATACCCACTATAGCTCAAACATAACTCCACATATTTGTAAGCTTTTGAAATGTTTGCTCAATCCCAACATTTAATAACAACTTTTATAATTCCCAATTTCAAAGAATCGCCAAATATTTATTCAAATGTTTGGAATTTTGGAATATTCGCAGCAAAATACACTCCAGATGGTAACTTATATAAGCTCATCGATATCTCCGCACATAAAGACATCTGCAGAAAATGTTGCGTACTCTATTGCTTTGCTGTTGGGCAGCCCTTGCTTTAGCCCAAGATTCGCGGATCATCAATGGCGACATCATCGACATTGCTCATGCACCCTACATCATGCAGCTGAGAACCCCCAGGGATATAACGGTGTGTGGTGGCACTTTGATAGCGCCACGCTATGTTGTAACTGCCGCTCATTGTATGGACAAAATGAAACCGGAAGATTTCCTAGTGGTGGGTGGTGCCAGTACCGTCGATGAGCCGGGAGTGAAGCGCAAAGTTGTCAAGGGATTCATACATCCCGGCTATCGCATGCTGAACAAAGATCGTGATGTAGCTGTACTCAAATTGGATGGAGATATGGTGGGAAAGAATATTCGCACAATACCCCTCTGTTCGGAGGCTTTGCAGCCGGGCAATATGATACAAGTTTCCGGTTGGGGTCGCACCCAGGAGAATGGTTATTCATCGGATGAGTTGCGTACCATTTTTATGCCCATCATTGAGAAGCAGGAGTGCTTGAAGAAGTACAAGAAGGTATCGGTGAAAATCAGCGACTCTGTTGTCTGTGCCTACGATGGCGGTAATAAGGATTCGTGTCGTGGTGACTCGGGTGGTCCTGGTGTCTATGGTGGTGAATTGTGTGCTGTGGTTTCATGGGGCATGGGTTGCGGCCGTGTTGAATATCCTGGTCTCTACACCAGCATTGATGTTGTGCGTGATTTTATCGAGGAGAGTATGAGGGAGTAGCTTGTGAAATTTTCGGAAATAAAGAAGATTGATTTGAAAACTTGGAAATTGTTTCAATTTTTGAAAAATAAGTAAATTTTTGAAAAATAAGTAAATTTAGTAGAAGTTGGAGAACTTACTTCATTTCCGCATAAAATGAAACCAAAGCTCAGTACGTAAGAGGTCTTTGTAAAGGACATGTATTATTGGAAAGGTTGTTTAAGGCCATCTCTAAAGGCATTCCAGAGATGAAAGCCCATCCAAGTACCTTCTATAGATTGAAACTTATTCCACAGACCTTCTGCATACAGAAAATCCTCTAAATATCCTATATAAATATAACCTTTTAGGGTATTTTTTGATCGAAGGACTTCCGAAGGTCTTCTACAAATGAATGTAGGCTTTTAGAAATAGTGGTGGTTATTAATTTAAATTAGGACTCCTAAGATAGAAAGAAGCACTTCGAAGGCTATTTATATATGTGAGCCCTACCAATGGCCTTCTGCCGATATAATATTCTTACATTTTAGACAGCTCTTCTAAAGGACTCCCAGAACAAGAAGGACTACTCCTTTAAAGGGCCCCAATAGAAAACCTTCGTTATTTTAAACAAAACAGCTCCTAAACTTCCTCAATAGTGGGAATGCGCAGGAAAGGAGGGGAGACTGATGTCCTGGCTCCCTACGAATTGGAAAACTTAGTTTTTTGCCATTTGGGCCTCTTTAGTTGGGTTTTTCGAACCAACTTCTTCTAAAGGCCTTCTATAGATGATAACCCTTTTACGCATCGTTTATGGATGAAAGAGATTGGAAGGACCTTATTTCGATAGAGAACTTCGTTAGTTTTAATAGAAGGTCTCCTTAATCTCCTCAATATGGAGAAGACACGGGAGCGGGAACCAACTTCTTCTAAAGGCCTTCTATAGATAATAAGCCTTTTACGCACCGTTTATGGATGAAAGAGATTCGAACGACCTTATTTCGATAGAGAACTTCGTTACTTTTAACAGAAGATCTCCTTGATCTCCTCAATATGGAGAAGACACGGGAGCGGGAAGGAGGCTAAATTTCTGGCCCCTCCGAATTGGAAAAACTTAGTTTTTTTGCCAGTTGGACCTCACGAACTGGTTTCGAAAGGCCTTTCTACAATCGTTGCTGGAAAACCTGTGTTTTGTATAAAAAGAAGTTTTCTGTAGGAAGGGGATTTTCTAGAGGTATTCTTTTAAAAATAACCTTAGATATGTCCACTACATACAAGTATAATTCTTTTTTTTTTTGGGAATAAGATCTTCTAGTGGTCTTCTATAAAACTCCCTTTTAGAGTTTATCAATAGAAATAACAATTAAAGATCTTTGGAAACCTTGGAACGGACATCTTTCGATAGAAACCCTTGGAAGAATCTTCCATAGCTAAAAACCATTCACGCATTTTCTATGGATGGCATCAATTTCGAATGGTCTTCTTCTCTTTTTCTCTTCTAGATTCCCTTTAAAGGGCATTTTATAGATTAAAGTCTATTCGAACCGACTTCTACAAAGAGACTTTTATAGAATAACCATTTTAAGATGAAAGACCACGGAACGGCCATTTTTCGATACTTGAAACAGAAAATCTCTCAGACTTTCTTAATAGGCAGAGTACGCAGAAGGGAGGGGAGGCTGAAGTCATTTCCGAATTTGAGAACTTAGATTTTTTTCCAGTTGGGACTAACGATGTTGAAAGACATTTCACAATTTCTGCTTGGGGACCTTCTAGGTGTTTGGTGAAGAACGAAGTGTTCTGTAGGAAGGAGATCTTCTAGAGGTATTCTTTAAACAACGACTTTAGGTATGTCCTCTACAAACTTTTAGGGGTTTTTCATGTAAATGAGACCTTCTAGTGGTGGTTTATAAAAAAATGCTCTTCTAGAGGCCATCAATAGATACAGAAAGGATATTTTTTATAGAAATAGGAAGGATATTTAATGCATGGAGGCTCTTCGAAACCCTTTGAAGGACCTACTGTATATAGAAACTCGTTCATATACTTTCTTCTTATGGCATCCCTTCCAAAGGGTCTGATATAGAAAGAATCGATTAAAAATGTATTTTATAGATAGAAGTCCTTTAAAGGTCTTTTGATGAATATAACGTCCTTTAACTGTATTATGTGGTTAAAAAAAAATTCCATGGGGCTTCTGCAGACAAAATCTCTCAGAAGGGCCCCTTCTGGATGACAGCCGTTTGGAAGAGAAAGGTCTTCCATTAGTTTAAGCACTTTTAAAGGAACCTTCTACAGATCTAAAGAGACCTATTATGAATTGAAACCTCTATAAAGGTCTTCAATAAACAAAATTCTTCAAAAGGTGCATTCGAAGGACTTCTAGGAATGACAATCGTTTGGAAGAGACTTATATAGATTAAAGTCCATCGAAAATGATTCTATAGATAGAAGCCCTTTGGAAGAACATTCTACAGATAAACAACCCTTAAAATGGCCTTTTTGGTTGAAAGCCTTTCAAAGAGCCATATTCGGAATACGAACCCTTCGAGGACCATTTTATAAATAAAAAACATTTTATTTCGAAAAGCTTTTTGTAGACAGAAGAGCATTGAATGTCTTTCGAAGGACATTCTAATGATAGAAGATCTTCAAGGGCATTATCTGGGACCCTTCAGAAATAAAATATTTCTTAGGGCTTCAAGCTTTTTTCGTCGATTGCATCGCTTCCATGCGCATCCGATAGATTTGAACCCTTCGAAATACTTCCTAGGCTTATCAAAAATCTTCTGTAGATATGTATTTGGAAGGTACCAAACATTCCTAGGGCCCATCCTCTCACGAAACTTTTCCGGGGCCTTCAAAAGTAATACCTTAGATAGGAACACTTCTAATAGTCTTCTTTTGATAGGATCCTTTAGAAAGACCTTCCATAGATAGCAGGTCATTGAAATTACTTCTATATTTTTAAAAACCATCTGTTTATAGAATTGAATTTTTAATAAGACGTTCCTCCAAAGACCTTCTACAGATACAATAAGTTCAGATAGTCAATTTTGTCCATCAACTTTTCAAAAAATTGAAACCCTTCGAAGTACCTTCCACACAGGTGAGAGCCATCGAAAGGCCTTTGTAGGTAAAAACTTTTTCTGGCATAAAACCTTCGTTTTCTAGGGAACTTCTAAGATCCTTTTTAATATAGGAAACCTAAAGGTCTTCTATAGTTAGTATCCCCTTGAATGTCATTTGAAGTCCTACATTGTTGGGTTTTTTTCTCTTCTATTTTATAAAATAGTTTTTCAAGGACCAAAGGACTAACAAACGTGGATTTTTTTCCAGGGCCAACAGACAGACTTAGATTTTTAAAGATTATTTTTCAAGGACCAAATGACTAACAAATGTGGTTTTTTCAATGACCAAAGGACTAACAAATGTGGACTTTTAAAGAATATTTTTTGAAGGAACAAAGGACTAACAAATGTGGACTTTTAAAGAATATTTTTTGAAGGAACAAAGGACTAACAAACGTGGATTTTTAAAGAATATTTTTTGAAGGACCAAAGGACTAACAAACGTGGATTTTTAAAGAATATTTTTTGAAGGACCAAAGGACTAACAAACGTGGATTTTTAAAGAATATTTTTTGAAGGACCAAAGGACTAACAAACGTGGATTTTTAAAGAATATTTTTTGAAGGACCAAAGGACTAACAAACGTGGATTTTTAAAGAACATTTTTTGAAGGACCAAAGGACTAACAAACGTGGACTTTTAAAGAATATTTTTTGAAGGACCAAAGGACTAACAAACGTGGACTTTTAAAGAATATTTTTTAAAGGACCAAAGGACTAACAAACGTGGACTTTTAAATAATATTTTTTGAAGGACCAAAGCATTAACAAATGTGGATTTTTAAACATTTTTTCTCAACTACCAAGGGCTTAACAAACGTGAATTTTTAAATAATATTTTTTCAAGGACCAAAGCATTAACAAACGTGGATTTTTAAAGAACATTATTTTCAAGGACCAAAGGACTAACAAACATTGACTTTTAAAGAATATTTTTTTACGGACCTTCTCTCGAAAAAATGTGGATTTTTAAAAAATATTTTTCAAAGACCAAAGGACCAAAAAATCTGGAATTTCAAGGCAAGTATTTCTCAAGGATCAGACTTGGATTGCTAATTACGATTTTAAGGCAGTATTTTTAAAGGACTAAAGAGGATTTTTATGTTAAATTTTTTTAAATACCCAACTTTCCTTTCTTTTAGACTTTCTTCGTAGAAATCCTTCTAAGTACCTTCTATGGATTGAAGCTCCTTAAAATATCCTATGCAGGGATAAACCTTTTTAAAGCCTTTCTCAAATCTTTACCACATCTTCAACAAGTGGGGTTTTATAATTCCTAATAGACCTACAGAAAGCCTCTTACGGGTGGTAAAAAAGTAATTCAACATAGATTTAACTAAAGTTTATTGTTACATTCCATTATTTATTTAAAACTTCTCCTTTCCTTTTCCGCTTCTAAGATTCCATAACCTGTTCAATGAACCACTTCACTTCATTGATATCAGTATAAATCCCCGGAGCCCGACGATGACCGCAACCAAAACTCCACGACACAATGCCACATAGTTCGCCACCAAATACTGCAGGTCCACCCGAATCGGAAGTACAAGCATCTTTATTCTCAATGTAGGCACACATCATGGATTTGGTAAGATTTTCTCCGAGACGCTTGTAGCGCAAAACACACTCCTCCCGAGGTAGCAGAGGTACACGTACTGTACGCAAATTCTTTGACAGATCTCCATTTTCGGTAACACGTCCCCAGCCGGAAATTTGTAAAAGATTGCCGGGTTCCAAAGGTTCACTACATAGGCCGATTGTTTTAACAACACCTCCCCTTAATTCTTCCGCCAATTTTAGAACTGCCACATCCATGTCCACAGTATCCACATCATATTCCGCAGGCATAAAGCCATCTTCCACACGACTCTGAACTCCCTCATCACCGAGAGATGTCGCACCAGCCACCACCCGAATATCGGTCAATTGATAACCCTCCAGGCAATGGGCTGCAGTCACCACATAACGAGGTGCAACTAATGCTCCCCCACAAAAGAAGCCATCTCTCTTGTGGTGTAACTGAACAACGTAGGGTGCCTTGTCAACGGTTATCTCTTCTCCGCCCAAAATGCGGGACTGGGCGGAAATTGTTGCCACAATGGAAAGCAACAAAATTGAACATATTTCCTGTGCCAACATTTTTCGAAAACTTGTTGCGTTCACAACTGAAATGTAAATTTTGCTATGTTGGGCTTTTTATTTGAATTGCAAGAATGAGGTAAACATTAGATTGGAACACTTGTGCAAACATAAGTTCGAAACGCTGTTATTTAGCTTCAGTATTTTGGGAGACAGATATTATAATAAAATTAGAGAAAACATTGTATTGAAGTTGTTTTTTAACAAGAGAATGGAAATTTTCTTTTTTTATTATTATGCAAATTGCATTTGTTTTCTTTGTTTTTGATAAAACTTGGGTGAATTCTAATCACGTTCTAAATGTCTTTACTGGAAAAGAAATTCTATATGCACCAAAATTTTATTGGGTCTTTGCAATAAAAATTCACGTTAGTCCTTTAAAAATGCTGCCTTAAAATCGGAATTAGAAATCCAAGTCTGATCCTTGAAAAAGTACTTGCCTTGAAATTGCAGATTTTTTGGTCCTTTGGACCTTGAAAAAATATTCTTTAAAAATCCACGTTTGTTAGTCCTTTGGTCCTTGAAAAAATATTCTTTAAAAATCCACGTTTGTTAGTCCTTTGGTCCTTGAAAAATATTCTTTAAAAATCCACGTTTGTTAGTCCTTTGGTCCTTGAAAAAATATTCTTTAAAAATCCACGTTTGTTAGTCCTTTGGTCCTTGAAAAAATATTCTTTAAAAATCCACGTTTGTTAGTCCTTTGGTCCTTGAAAAAATATTCTTTAAAAATCCACGTTTGTTAGTCCTTTGGTCCTTGAAAAAATATTCTTTAAAAATCCACGTTTGTTAGTCCTTTGGTCCTTGAAAAAATATTCATTAAAAATCCACGTTTGTTAGTCCTTTGGTCCTTGAAAAAATATTCTTTAAAAATCCAAGTTTGTTAGTCCTTTGGTCCTTGAAAAAATATTCTTTAAAAATCCACGTTTGTTAGTCCTTTGGTCCTTGAAAAAATATTCTTTAAAAATCCACGTTTGTTAGTCCTTTGGTCCTTGAAAAAATATTCATTAAAAATCCACGTTTGTTAGTCCTTTGGTCCTTGAAAAAATATTCTTTAAAAATCCCCGTTTGTTAGTCCTTTGGTCCTTGAAAAAATATTCTTTAAAAATCCACGTTTGTTAGTCCTTTGGTCCTTGAAAAAATATTCTTTAAAAATCCACGTTTGTAAGTCCTTTGGTCCTTGAAAAAATATTCTTTAAAAATCCACGTTTGTTAGTCCTTTGGTCCTTGAAAAATATTCTTTAAAAATCCACGTTTGTTAGTCCTTTGGTCCTTGAAAAAATATTCTTTAAAAATCCACGTTTGTTAGTCCTTTGGTTCTTGAAAAAATATTCTTTAAAAATCCACGTTTGTTAGTCCTTTGGTCCTTGAAAAATATTCTTTAAAAATCCACGTTTGTTAGTCCTTTGGTTCTTGAAAAAATATTCTTTAAAAATCCACGTTTGTTAGTCCTTTGGTCCTTGAAAAAATATTCCTTAAAAATCCACGTTTGTTAGTCCTTTGGTCCTTGAAAAAATATTCTTTATAAATCCACGTTTGTTAGTCCTTTGGTCCTTGAAAAAATATTCTTTAAAAATCCACGTTTGTTAGTCCTTTGGTCCTTGAAAAAATATTCTTTAAAAATCCACGTTTGTTAGTCCTTTGGTCCTTGAAAAAATATTCTTTAAAAATCCACGTTTGTTAGTCCTTTGGTCCTTGAAAAAATATTCTTTAAAAATCCACGTTTGTTAGTCCTTTGGTCCTTGAAAAAATATTCTTTAAAAATCCACGTTTGTTAGTCCTTTGGTCCTTCAAAAAATATTCTTTAAAAATCCACGTTTGTTAGTCCTTTGGTCATTCAAAAAATATTCTTTAAAAATCCACGTTTGTTAGTCCTTTGGTCCTTGAAAAAATATTCTTTAAAATCCACGTTTGTTAGTCCTTTGGTCCTTAAAAAAATATTCTTTAAAAATCCACGTTTGTTAGTCCTTTGGTTCTTAAAAAAAATATTCTTTAAAAATCCAAGTTTGTTAGTTCTTTGGTCCTTGAAAAAATATTCTTTAAAAATCCACGTTTGTTAGTCCTTTGGTCCTTGAAAAAATATTCTTTAAAAATCCATGTTTGCTTTGGTCCTTGAAAAACTATTCTTTAAAAATCTATGTTTGCTTTGGTCCTTGAAAAACTATTCTTTAAAAATCCATGTTTGCTTTGGTCCTTGAAAAACTATTCTTTAAAAATCTATGTTTGCTTTGGTCCTTGAAAAACTATTCTTTAAAAATCCACGTTTGTTAGTCCTTTGGTCCTTGAAAAAATATTCTTTAAAAATCCATGTTTGCTTTGGTCCTTGAAAAAATATTCTTTAAAAATCCATGTTTGCTTTGGTCCTTGAAAAACTATTCTTTAAAAATCCACGTTTGTTAGTCCTTTGGTCCTTGAAAAAATATTCTTTAAAAATCCACATTTGTTAGTCCTTTGGTCCTTGAAAAAATATTCTTTAAAAATCCACATTTGTTAGTCCTGTGGTCCTTGAAAAAAATATATTTTTTTTAAAATCCACGTTCGTTAATCCTTTGGTCCTTGAAAAAATATTCTTTAAAAAGCCACGTTTGTTAGTCCTGTGGTCCTTGAAAAAAATATTTTTTTTTTGAAATCCACGTTCGTTAATCCTTTGGTCCTTGAAAAAATATTCTTTAAAAAGCCACCTTTGTTAGTCCTTTGGTCCTTGAAAAAATATTATCTAAAAATCCACGTTTGTTAGTCCTTTGGTCCTTGAAAAAATATTATCTAAAAATCCACGTTTGTTAGTCCTTTGGTCCTTGAAAAAGTATTCTTTAAAAATCCACGTTTGTTAGTCCTTTGGTCCTTGAAAAACTATTCTTTAAAAATCCACGTTTTTTAGTCCTTTGGTCCTTGAAAAACTATTCTTTAAAAATCCACGTTTGTTAATGCTTTGGTCTTTGAAAAACTATTCTTTAAAAATCCACGTTTGTTAGTCCTTTGGTCCTTGAAAAAATATTCTTTAAAAATCCACGTTTGTTAATCCTTTGGTCTTTGAAAAAAAAAATATTCTTTAAAAATCCACGTTTGTTAATCCTTTGGTCCTTGAAAAAATATTCTTTAAAATCCAGGTTTGTTGGCCTTTGGTCCTTGAAAATAGTATTTAAAATTCAACATTGTTTCGAGTAAAGGTCCTTTTAACATTTTAATCAAAAATGAATTTTAATCAGAAATGAAGATCCTCAAAAATATTCTTTAAATATGCACGTTGTTTCGAGTGAAGGTCCTTGCAAAATTTAATTTAAATATCCATGATGTTTAAAGCGAATGTCCTTTTTTAAAAAAAATCCACGTTTGTTGGTATGGAGATTCTCGAAAAATATTCTTGGAAAACCGGTGGATGGCTTTCAATCAATGAGATTGGTCTTGAATCTATGGAAGGCCTGTAGAAGGTATGCAATCAATGGAAAACCTCTGGAAGGCTTTCAAGCTATGAAAAACCTGTAAAGGTCTTCTATCCTTGGAAGAAGTTTAGAAGGTCTTCTATCCATCGAAGACCCGTAGAAGGCCTTCTATCAATAGAGGACCTGTAAAAGGGATTATATCCTGAGAAGACCTGTAGAAGACCTTCCATCTATGGAAGACCTGTAGGTCTTCTATCTATGGAAGTCCTGGTAAAGGTCTTCTATCTACAGAAGACCTGTAGAAGGTCTTCTATCTATGCAAGACCTGTAAAAGTCTCTATCTCAGCAGACCTGTAAAAGTCTTGTATCTCAGGAGACTTGAAGAAGGTTCTCTATCCTTGGAAGACCTGTAGAAGGTCTTCTGTCTATGGAAGACCTGCAGAACGGTTCTATACTCGGAAGACCTGTAGATGGTCTTCTATCCTAGGAAAACCTGTAGAAGGTCTACTATCCTTGGAGGACCTGTAGGAGGTCTTCCATTCTTGGAAGACCTACAGAAGGTATTTTATCCTTGGAAGACTTGTAGAAGGTTTTGGAAGACCTGTAGAAAGTCTTCTACCTTGGAAAACTTTTAGATGGTCTTCTATCCTTGGAAGACCTGTAGAAGGTCTTCTATCCTTCGAGGACCTTTAGAAGGTTTTTCATAGATGGAAGACCAGCAGGAGGTTTTCTATCCGTCGAAGACCTTTAGAAAGTTTTTTATCTATAGAAGACCTGTAGATGGTCTTCTATCCTTTGAAGACCTGTAGAAGGTCTCCTATGCTTGGAAGACCTGTATGATCCATCTATTGGAAACCTACCATTTGTAGAATATCTGTGGAAGAATAAACATCCACAGAAATCCTGTTGAAAATGCCCTTTCAAAATTAAAATATGCGAACGTTTTTTGAAAATCATTGTAGAGTTCTATTCGAAAAACCAGTAATATAACATTTAATAAAAACTAAAAAAAATCAGAATTCACATCGAAATTTTTTATTGTTTCAAACAGTGTTCAATGAAATCGCGCACAGAATCAATGCGAACATAAACGCCAGGATATTCATCACTGCCACAATCGCGGCCCCACGATATGACAGCACACAATTGACCATTGTAGACAGCAGGACCGCCTGAATCCCCTTGACAAGCATCCTCACCCTCTGCACCGTGGGCACATACCATTTCATCGGATACCTTCTCTACATCGGATTCCTCTTCATCGTAAATAGCAGCACATTTGACATCCGACATGATGGGTATAAGGACACTTTGTAACGTTTCCGCAGGTTTGGCCAACTCATCATCGGCTTGTTTACCCCAACCGGATATGCGCAGCATTTCACCTTCTTCCAGCACGGTATCTTCATCACATAGCTCGATGGCATCAACATGTTCACCAAAAATCGGACGATTTAATTTTAATACGGCCACATCATAATTGGCAAAGCCCGATTCATAGAGGGGGTGTATGAAAAGGCGTTTGATGTTCACGACGACATTTTGCTCCTTTGCCGACGTCGTACCAGCAACGATCTTAAAATGTCCAATACCATATTTCTCAAAACAATGGGCAGCGGTTACAACAAACTGCGGTGCTATTAGGGTACCTCCACAGGCATGTTTATCGTTGCGTTCTCTCAGTTGTACCGTATAGGGTACTTGGTCAATGGTTATACTGGCATTTTGGCTACCAGGTATTATAGCTGCTACTTGGTGCGAGGAGAGAATTATATAAAATATGACATGAAGAGATACCGAAAGTAACAATGAGATTTTCCCGTTATATCCCATCTTCGAAAGAAATTATGTTTGCACTGAACTTCTTGTTTTTCGTGACAAGTGGTTTTATTATTTTTCAGGTGCAAATTTTTTAGCTGTGGTTTTGTTATTAACTTCTAAGTGACTGCACACCACAGTCAATAACAAATTAAACAAACGAAACATATTTATCAAATAAACGGAACTCTAAATAAACAATTAAAATGCAAAGAATTGCTATAATTGATGATATGGAAAATATCTTAACTTCCACATTTGGGGCTCCAATTTTTGCTCTAGGGATGAAATGAGAATGGTTCAAGTTTTTTTTTCGTACAGTGCATTTATTCTACATACAGCCACAAAATCTTTATTAAAACCCCAGCAAAAGTTTTATAACAAAATGACACTATTTCATATCCTTCTACCAATGAAAATTTGATATGTAAGTAGATACGACCGACCCCATTATTTAAGTGTGATTTATAATCTAAACAACTTAACCAGTAAAGAAAGTCTTAAAGTCGGAAAGGGCCGACTTTGTGATACCCTACACCACTTTGCTAATTTAGTAGAGCTCCCCATAACAATTAAAATATATTATTTACAATTTAAAGTTCAAAGGACTAAATATGCCGAAGCATTTGCATCTTTTAAATTCGGACTTGTATTGCCCATTTGGTGCAAAATTGATTTGAAATCAGATAAAGATATATATGGGAGCTATATCCAAATCGGAATCGATCTCGACAAAGTTTGGCAAAGATATTTCTGAACTGTATTTCATATATTTCCCGGAATATCGTTTTTACGCAGTGCATATTACGGCTGTGGGTAACAAATATAACAAATCGGATGAACAGTATGGGAGCTATAGCTATATCTGAACCGATCTTCACCAAATTTGACATACTAGCTTCTACACTCAATTCGGTCGTAAGTGCCAAATTTCACCCCATTTGGGCGAATATTAGACGTTTGGTGCACAATCAAATGTAAATCGGACGAAGTTATATATGGGAGATATATCCAAACCTGAACCGATCTCGATACAATTTAGCAAGTGTATTTCTGAGCTGTATTTGATAAATTTTTGTTGTTACAGAGTGCATATTACGGCTGCGGAGGACAAAAATAACAAATCGGATGAACAATATATATGGGAGCTATAGCTATATCTGAACCGATTTCTATCAAATTTTGCATACTTATTTTCAGACCTAATTTGGTTGTATGTGCAAAATTCCATACTATTCGGGCTGATATTACACGTTTGGTGCACAATAAAAGGCAAATCGGATGAAGATATATATGGGAGCTATATCTAAATTTTGACCGATTATCTCCAATTTCAATAGGGTTCGTCCTTGGGCCAAACAAATGTTGTTTGGAAAATTTCATCTCAATCGAATAAAAATTGCGACCTGCATTTTGTTCACAAGAATACATGGACAGACGGACGGACAGAAAGAGGGACTGACATACATAAATCAACTCAGAAAGTGATTCTATGGAAATCCTCAACAATTAGTAGGGGGAAACCAGAAGAAATGGTCCGATCTCCACCATCCTATATAATAGATCTTGTGTTGATGGAAATATTGAAATCTGCCACGTCTGAATGGATTCGAATTTTAATTTCTCGTTTTATGAGCTTCAAATGTATTTAAAATTTAAATCCATTGGGAAAGCTTGAGTCATGTACCAGAAGGGATGGGCCGATATATACCATCTTCACCCCAGACATGGTGTTAGTAAATGTAATGACATGTAAGAAATTTGAAGATAACCGGATGCCTACTTTAGATTTTTTAATCGTTTTGGTTATCCACAACTTTGACACTTTGTGAGGGAGATACCAGAAAATATGGTCCGATATCTACCCTATTTACAATAGATCTTGTGTTGATGGAAATATGGCGATGTACCATGTCTGAATGGAATCGGATGTTATTTTTGAGTTTTATGAGCTTCATGGATACTCAAAATCTGGACCATTTGTGGGGGAAGTATCATAAGGAGTGGAGCGATATGTCCCATCTTCACACCAGACCTTGAGCTAATAAAAATATTGCGATGTGTGTACATTATTCAAAATATTGACCCTTTGTTGGAGAGGTGCCGGAAGGAATGTGTCTCGTACCATCGCTCGTTACCGTGATACTGGTAGCGTAGCCCGAAGTCAAGGAAGTGGACGGAAGAAAACAGCAAGATCAGAGGAAATGGTTCGAAAATTAATGAAGCGACTTGATCGAAATCCGCATTGCAGTGGCCGAAAAATGGCTCGTGATCTAAACATATCGCAATATTCCATTCGGCAAATATTGAAAAAATGAGCTCGGGTTAAAACCATTGAAATTCCTGAAAGTGAAAGAACTTACACCGCAACAGAAAGAAAATATGCTTCGCTTGGCCGAAAGTGGTGAACTGCCGAATTTGGTTTTCTCCTATGAGAAAACGAGAACATTCGTTGTCCAGCAGTTTGTAAACAAACAAAATGATCGTGTCTACTTGCCAAAGAGGTCAGCTGAAAATGTGCACCTTCGGTTGGTCACCAGAACTCAAGCGCCGGCTATGGTGATGGCTCTTCGCCCGTATTAATCGGCAGTGGCATCAGAATAAATGCCGAATTATATCGCGAAAAAGCTCTGGAGGCAAGCCTCGGGCACGCAAATATTTTAGCAGCAGACAAAAACAAGGTTGGCACTGAAAAATACCAAAGTGTCGATCACCTCAAGAAAGCACTTTAACGGGAATGAGCCAACATTCGGGCAGCGTGTGACGGTTTCATTGGCCGTTTGAAGGCCGTAATCACCAATTCGAACAAATCTAAACTTATCCTAAAATTTGATGCTATTTTCGTCACTTTTTTTCAATAAAATTAAACAAAAATCTAAAATTATGGCGATTGACTTTGTTGCAGTTTTTTTTTTTTTTTTTATCTCACTCTGTATTAATAAATTTCAAGATTATTAGAAACAAGAGAACACTACCAAAGAATTTGATTCCCACCATACTTCTGCTCAGATAAAAAAATCAAATGTAATCATATGATAATTATAGTCATTTCCAATTTAGAACAAAGGGTTAAACATTTGTTACAATCAATGTAGAACCAAAGAATTTTGGGGAAAAAAATCCCAAATAATTTTCCCAAGATGAGAAAACAACCGATTAATTGGATAGAAAATTTAGTTTTAATAACACAAAAACCTAAATCTATAATTAAATGCTACTTTTACACCAATTATGAAATCTAAAAAAAAGAGAGAAAAAACCATGCAGAAGAAAAACTAATAACAAGAATGTCCACATAGCATGTAATTCCCAAACTGTTAGACAGGAAAGGACTGCCCACAAACGAAGACGGACGGCAGACACAAATAAGAAAAAACCGTGAGAATTAGTTTAGCTAAGTTTTTCTTTCTGTCGATACCCTTTTATTTGCTACTAATAAAAGGTAACAATGGTAGACCATCTAACTTTGCTGGGGGAAACCTTAGAAGAAATTCTCCCTAGCATTGGTATTCCAATCCCGTGAATTGTATCCTTTAGACTATGTTGTTTTTTTTTTTTAAATATAAAAAAAATCTAAAATTTTAGATTTGAACTGGTTTTCCTGGGTTTCTTTTCTTTCTTTGGCTACCAAGAAGCCAACAAAAAACCCCCTGCCTTGGATAGAATATTTTATGGGGAAAAATATAGTTTTTAACACCACAGCTCATTAAAATTTCTTTTTTTATTTTCTTTGACAATTCAAATCTCGGACAAGAAAATGGAAAGAAAACACAACCTCGAAGAGTTCAATAACACGGTAAAATCGAAGGGTCACAACCACTTGTTATACGAAGAAAAAAAAACAACAAAACAAATAGATGGACCTCCTCTAAGGATCTGTGGTTGAGAATTTCCCCCCACCATTCTTCGTTTTTTGGGATAATTAAATTGTAGACATGCACTGTGAAAACACACAGGCACACACATGAACCTAGCATTGGTGAGGTAACAAGAAAGGGTTTTTCACACTCATCCTCCTCCTCGAAGAAGTAGAAAAAAAAATGGTTTTCGAAACCAGTTTTTTGTGGATACCATCATGAGGTGGCATTTCTATATTAAACCCTCGAAGAGAGATCATCCAGACCTTTAATCAAAATTCGATTTTGATTGTAATACCTTTTTGATTTTGTGTTATTGTTGTTGTTTTATTTTCCACTACGACAAAAGACAACAAAAATAGTAGGGGTTAAGTGCCAAGGCAACAACAATTGTTGCCCGTCTTCAAGATCCCCGCCGAGGCAACAATGAAAATCTACTTAAAAAACACAATCAAACACTTGTTGAAGTTGGAAAAATTAAACCCCCCGCTCAGAAGCCTCCTCAGCTAGGCCTCATCATTGTTTGTGTTAAAAAAGGTAATGCAAACGAAAATTAAGAAAAAAAATAGAAAAAATACTGGGCGGCAGTCAAACACACATTAAAGGCACTCACCAGCACTCCCAGTCAAGTGCATCCTGGCGCGCATGCTCATCGGCATTCTAATAAGGTGAAGGGATTTTCTCCGATTTTCTCTGTGTTAATAATGGAGTCCCACATCAAAAATTCGAAAAAAAAGGAATTTCTTTGCGGGCCACAAAATACGCCACATCATCTTCGATTCAAGTCATTATCAAACGATTTATCAATCACAGTAGCATTCCCCAAAAAGGACCGAAAGAGATGGGATTGGCTTTTGGTAAAATTCCTTGAATTTGTTATTAGAGTCGTCATTCAAGAAAATTAACTTCTAGCACTTCAGTTTGTATTTCTTTCCTTTGTGTTCTCCTTTTTTTGCTTTGAGTGAGGATTCTAGAAAGAGGAGTGGAGGATAATTTCTAACAAAAAATGATTGGGAAATGTTTTTCATAGGCTTTTCAACAATAACGAAGGCTTGGAGGATTTAATTACTGAGCATATAAACTGGCATGGGAAAGCAATGAAAAATCAAGGATAGGTCAATAGTTGAAATAATATTTTTCTTGTTTTTTGTACCCTCCACAACACATAGCATGTGGGGTATATTAAGTTC